AACATTCACCTTGAAAATTCAAGATGAAGAGCTTCTTGCAGCCAACAATTTACACCACATTTTTGCTTCAGCACTCAAACTATGCGATGAATCATATTTTCAAACATATTTTTTTACACGTTTTTTCGATGTCTTAGTAGATTTTCCATATTTTTAGTGGGTTTATAAAAAGGAGATGTAGCCATTGAAGTCTATTCAGACCGCTTCTAAACTGCCACTTGATGCATATTATTTTAGCGCCCTCTAAAACAGATTTACAGTAAACCAAAAAAATTACATACTGTAAGAAACTTGATGGTATGCCATTGGTTAGTGCATTTAATTTGTTTGATGCAATCATTTTGCCAGCTATTTCTTATGGTAGTGATATTGGGGTACGAAAATTCGGAAATCGAGAGGGTACAGACAACATTTTGCAGATATTTATATAGCGTTAATAGTTGTACAAACAATGTAGCGATGTTGGACGAATGTGGAAGGCTGCCATTATGCTGTGGTTATTTCAAGCGTTGTATCTCATATTGGTTAAAATTACTTGAAGTAAAAAATAGCTGGAACCCCAAAACATGTTACACATGCTTAAACGATTAGACATGACCGGCAGACTTACTTGGGAAACCCACATAAAAATCTCCTGTACAAATATGGTTTCGGCATTGTCTGGTTTGCAAAACTAATGCAGTGATACGTTTGAATTTAGCATGGGAGAAAATGAAAATCACTTTGTTTTTATATGTCCATTTCATAATGATCTAAGGGCTGATCTTTTGTCAATAACCCTATGCAATTATGCAAATACTGACAGTCTGGACTTACTTCATCGCTACACAAACTGCCACACCATATATCAACTAGCTCAGTCTGTATCTTTTAAAACTTTTCAAGCGACGAGATGAATATGAATTCAGCTTAACTTAGTACCATGTGTTTAAATGGATATTTTATTGTTTTTAAAACGTGCTATGCACTTTTCTACCCATTACATTTTGTATGATGGGATGATAAATAAAATTACATAATACAAAATTGACTAATACTAAAGTGAATAATTGTAGACAGATTCGACATGAAATCGTGTCACTTTTATGTGCGCTAACATCTGCGAAGAGCTCGTGAGTAGCATTTTGCTTAGACAATAATGCTAAGATAGTACAGTCTTGTCATTTTTGTGTACAACATATTGCCGTAATGGATCTAGGGTGTGGGTGTGTTTGTCTGTGAGTGGGGAATGGCTCAAGACCCCTTCTCTAAAATAGTAAAATAGTTCAAAGATGTTATGTGAAATAACTTACCAACGTAACACAAAGTAAACCAATTGAATTTAAAACTGAGAATATAAAAATGTCTGTAACAGAGCTCAGACACTTTTTGAATATTAAACCATTTACACGTTTCACATCAAATATATTATTGTTGTTTTCGAACCTCATATTCAAAAGTGCTGGCTACAGGCCTGACCGATCAAAGACCAACAACCAACGTCGAATAATAAACCTCACAAAACGCCTTTTTCTTATTTAACAGTTTCCAGAACATGACAAGGGGGAACATAAAAGTCAAGGTAAAGTCATGGTGTGCCTTATATTACGAAAAAAATTTAGGAAACATATGAATATCCTCTGTGGTGAAGTGGTATTTATAATGTCCGTGGTATTTTTTTAGAAAGTTTTACAATTAAATCAAATATCCAATGATACCGGAATATTTATTTTATTATTTTAACAATGGTCACGCGAGATTTCTTTACACCAAAATAAGTCTCAAACATTTGTTAAGACATTTATTCTCTCAATTTTAACATCTTGCAATGGTCGAAAATAGCAAATACATGGCTAATATTTGTCAAAAATTTTTTGCTCTCAATTTAACAAATTGTAATGGTGGAAATTAATTAAACGACAATATATCTAATCGCAAATACATGGCCAATATTTGTCAACACATTCATTCTTCAATTTAACAACTTGAAATGGTGGAAATTAAGTATTACCACTACTTGAATGTTTAATTATTTGTTATCATTCGAACTTACCAGCCGACTGTGCACAAGAGAGTATCATTATTGTGCGATATGAACAGGAACGTGTCTTGGCATTAGGATTAGAGTCGGGACAGGTATGGTCAACGCAAACACCACACCCAAGATGTACACTAACGGCTTATGCCATACATATAGTTTACAGAAGCTGAAAACACAAAATTGACAGTATTGTTTGGCAATTGTGACTAAATAATCGAAATATGTAGTATTATACTATTAGCGTAAAACCATCTCCCATTCGGTAAATTTTGTATTGACCACCTAGAGATTACTAATTCCCCCTTTCTAAACCTTGCCCCCTAAATAACATATCGCCCTTTTTAGAATGTACTGACCCACAAATTAATGAATGTACATGAGCACAGAAACGCACGTCATGAATAAATTAGCATAAGTTTTAAAACATTGAATAAAGTGCGTCTTTTGGAATTATGCTGGAATTTCCAACTACAAATGTTTGAAGTAGTAAAAAAAAATAAGGAGAAAGAAATACAAATTATAAATT